AGGGGATTATGGGTACACATGTGCCATAATTTTTCCGCCCCCCAACAGTTCAGGGACTTCCGCAGGGATTTCTTGGGAATAAAACAGATGCTTCAACAGAACGGGCCCTTCAAATCGCACCTGGTAGCTGCGCCGACGCGCCAGCCAGAATTACTCCGCTTTCTACAATGTACAGTCGGGAGCGCATGGCAGCCTTAAAAAAAAAAACCCAAAAGCACCTAAATTGTCCTTACTTCTTCTACGTCTTCAAAAATGCCAAGGCCAGGTAATCGGGGCTCTTGGATTAAGGCTCATGGCTCCTAAATGCATGTGACCTCCAAAGGCAGATTAAGGGGTTCAGGGTTTAGGGTTTAGGGTTTAGGGGTTTAGGGTTTAGGGGTGTAGGGTTTAGGGGTTTAGGGTTTAGGGTTTTTGGGGGATTTTTAGGGTTTAGGGTGCCTCTTCCTGCAATTTCAAGGGTCAGCTTCTCGTGGAGACCGCGAACAACTCGAAAATCAACCATCGACCCTTTAGCCGCCTAAACCTTATAGGCACCAACATCCAAAAGCCATACAAGACACACATGATGTGACAAACTAGCCTTCAAGTGGAAGATATGATATACTGCAACTGCAACCCTAAACCCTAAACCCTAAACCGTAAAACCTAAACCCTAAGCAAACCACCAGGAAGAAGACAAACCCAAGGCTCCGCTGCACCCAAATCAGGCGGATGCGATGCTTTACCATCAGGTCCTGAGCTTAAAGCTTGGGCTTTTCTTAACGGGGTCTAGGGTTTTAAGGGTTTAGGCTTTAGGGGTTTAGGGTGTAGGGTTTTTTGTTACGGGGTGTTGGGGTGTCGAGGGATTGGGGGTTTAGGACCTGGGTTTGGGGGGCTGAGCGCTTTGCGTCTGAGGTGCCGGGCTTACGGGTCTAAGGATGAAGGTTTAGGGCTTAGGGTTTAAGGTTTTTCTTTTTGAGCGCTCCTTTTTCAGTCCGCCGTTTAGGGTTTAGGGTTTGGGGTTTAGAGTTTAGAGTTTAGGGTTTAAGGTTTAGGGCTTAGGGTTTAGGGTGAGATTTCTAGGATGCAGGACGGCAAGGGGCTCGGGGCTGTCGTGAAACTCCGCAACCTAGAGAGCCCAAACCCAAAACTTCTCGGCATATAGCCTCAAGCCATCTCTTCAAGGAAAAAATATACAAGGAAGCCACAATAAGCAATCCGAGAACAGTCAGCTCTTTAAGTGCCCCGGGGCAAGTCCTAAACCCGCTAAACCCTGCCAAAACCCCTAAAAGCAACCCTGAAGGCTCTAGACTTTTTTAACTCCCAGGCTTCAACTAAAGCCAAGCCCTCGACCCCTTTAATTCCTTGTCCTAGGGTTTAGGGTTTAGGGTTTAGGGTTTAGGGTTTCCCAAACTCCCCTCCACCCACATCCCCTTAAGGATCCTTGGCACCCCAAACTTCCCCGAACCCTTTCTCCCCCAAAACCCTCAACTATGCAACAAAGGAAACCCTAAAAACCCTACAGAAACCCTAAAACCCGAAACCCTAAAGTAACCCTAAACCATAGAAACCCTAGACCCGAAACCCCACCAGAAACCCAAAAAGAAACCTTAAAGCCGCAGGCCCCGGAGCTCTCAAGATGCGAAAAAAGCCTCTGGCAGCCAGGTGCCCCAGGCCGGCAGGAAGTCCTGGGAGGGGTATCTAGGGTTTAGGGGTTAGGGTTTAGGGTTTAGGGTTGGAGATTCAGGTCTTGGGTTTAGGGTTCTAGGGCTTAGGGCTTTAAGGCTTTATTTAGGGTTTCCTGAGAGAAGTATTTAGGCGTTGGAGATTCAGGTCTGGGGGTTAGGGTTTTCGTTTGTATCACCTCTTTTCCATCTGCCCGAGGGGTGTCCGGAATACCAAGTCTGGTGGAGGCATGGTGATGGTTTAGGGGTTTAGGGTCTAGGGCTTTTAAGGCTTTAGGGCTTTAGGGGTTTAGGGCTTTAAGGCTTTAGGGTTTAGGGGTTTGGGGTTTCGAGGCTTTAGGGTATGAGGGTTTCAGGGTTTAGGGTATTTTGGGTATTTTGGGTTTGCAAAACTTTTTGGGTTGAAAGCAAGAGGAGATTCAGAGGGGTGCCTCACAGTTGTTCAGACACGGCGTGAAGAGGCCTGCGTGGCTTCATGAAGCTACATGAGGGTGTTGAGAGCCTGAGAGGGTTTGACCACTGGTTTCTAGGGGGATCTACCAAGGTGGCTCTTTACAAGTCACAGCTTGTCGATTTTGGAGCCCGGTCTTGGGGTTGGTTCTCTCCGGGTCGTCTTTAGGCTTTGAAACGCTTAAGGATGTGGGGCTGAGAGTTTGCGGCTGAGGGTTGAAGCTCGGGGCTGGTAAGGCTCCGGAACTCCGCTTGTTGGTTATAGGTTGTAGAAACCTTTAGACGGCCCTTTAAAGTTTGAAGGAGCCCTTAACGGAACCCCTAAGAGGCACCGTGCAGTATAGGAACCCCTCAGAGAGCCCTTATACGGTTGCTGATATAAATCCTGCATTGCCCATAGTAAGGAATAGACCATAACTCCCATAGTTTATAAGGTCCTTAAGGTAATGCTAAGGATTTATATCATCAACAGTATCATAAGCCCCTAGACCCTAAACCCCAAAACCCCTAGGCCCCTAAACCCCTAAAGCTCTTCCGCATCGACTCCTGGTTCAGCTTCCAGTTGAAGCCCCTCACTGGGACGCCGGCCTGGCAACAACGGGGTCCCCCTTTTTTTTTTGTTTTTTTTTGGGGGGCCGGGTTTTTTTACACAAAGGTCGATATAAGGGTTCGTCTGTAGCTCTTGTTGTAAGTGTTGCAATTTTTGGTAGGTTTGACGATAAAGGTATCCTAAACCCTAAACCCAAGACGCTAGGTCTTGTAGGTCCTTTACAAGGGTCCGTGGAAGCGTCTTCTGGGTTTGCTTCGGAAATGGTCGAGGGTTTGGGGTGTAGCGCCTTTGGCGCTTCCCAAGCTTATTGAGGTTTCGGGTTTCGGCTTGAGGGTTTAGGGTTTAAGGTTTCGGGTTTAGGCTTCAGGGGGGTCGAGGGCTGCGACGACAATCGTCATTGCCGTCGTGGCGACGTGGTGGTGGTGATGATCAACAGTTGGGTTCGGGGCATAGGGCTTTAGGATTGAATTGTCGAGCCCTCTCCAAAAGTGGAAACTGCGGATTGAGGACTACAATTGACAAGTTTGGGGTTGAGGGTCTTAGCGTTCAGCATGGAGGGATCTGACTCATGGGATGCCCGCCTTGAAAGACTCGAGGGAACGGCTCAGAATGTCCTGGGTGTTCTCTGGAAAGTGTGCGATGGCAGAAGCGTCGAAGTCCAGGAAGAGAAATCGCTTCAGGACTTTCCTCGTCTCTCCAAGAGCCGAGGAAGTTCAACAAAACCCATCACAAGAACCCGAAACTTTGGGAGAGATACCCTAAACCCTAAACCCTAAACCCCAAACCCCAAACCCTAAACCCTAAACCCTAAGCTTCGAGCTGCTGGCGCAACTTCAGGCTCCACGGGAAGCCCGCCTTCTTCAGGTCGTTGAAGAGCTCGTGCTGCAAGTCGATGCAGGGGTGTCGGCTCAGCTCCACGGCCAGGAAGTTCGTCCCCGAGCGCTGCATGGCCAGCATCACGGCGATGGTGTCCGCCTTGCCCGCCGGAGTTCGCGAAGCTTTCGGGGTCGTCCCGGTCTCTGCAACGGCTTTCCGAAGCTCGGGAGCCCTGGTGGTGGCGGAAAGGAATTCAAAAAATTCCGGAGCTTCCGAAGAAGTGCTGGGAGAAGTGGCAAAGCTACGAGGAGCCGCAGAGCTCGAGTTCGAAGGGCTCAGGATGGAAACCTCCACCAGGGCCTCTGCTGCGGAGACGAGGCTCGCGTCTTTGCCATGCTCCAGAGCCTTTCGGACTCAAGGGTCTTGTCCCAAGGATCCCCTCTAAACCCTAAACCCTAAACGGTTTAGGGTTTTTTTTTTTTAGGGCCCTTTTCGTCGAACCGTTTAGGGTTTAGGGTTTAGGCCCTACCCAAACCCTTAACCTGAAACCCGAAATTCAAGCAGGAAAGGGAACTCGCTGGAAGGGAAACCCTGGCGGGTGTCCCTTCCACGATTCAACCGCAGAGTTGCAAATCCAAAGCCAATGTTTGTAGAATAACCACATGAAGTGCCCAAAAATAAGGTCTAGGGCTTGGGGTTTAGGATGTTAATTTTGTTATCTATCCATCAACCGTATATGTGGTGTCAGAAGCCTTCAGATTGCTGCACACCGCGACCAGGCCAACGGCTGCGGCCGACATCACCACGCACTTCACGATCCGGCCAGGCGACAACATGAGGGTAGCTCTCTAAGTTAGGGTCCCTTTTGGGGGTCCACTTCATAAAGGTGCCGTACTATGCTTGCGACCGAAAAAGGGAGCCTAATTTAGAGAACTACCGATGAGACAGTCGATCTTACGGACGAAGGGGGGTGTCGGAATGTGAAGGTTTAGGAGTTTAGGATTTGGGGCTTCCGGGTTTAGGGATTCAGGACTATACCATGCTGTGTGTTCTTTTCTTGATACTTTGCTGGCTTTAGCATTGCGATTCTTGCGAGAGCACTCAGGTTACCGTGAACTTTGCTGGTGCTAATTACTTTTCTTGTTGATGTTCCGAGTTCCCCTATATAGCCCTAAACCCTAAACCCTGAACCCCCAAGCCTAAAAAGGACCCTAAAACTATATAGCCCTAAACCTTAAACCCTAAACCCTGAAAAGAAGCCTAAAAGGGACCCTAATTTAAAGAACTACCCGCAGGGCTTCCAGGGAAAGCTTGATGGATTCCACGATAGGGCAACGGGATTTTTGCAAGGTTCCTTAAAGGCAGGTGTAGGGTTCAGGGTTTTAGGGTTTAGGGTGTAGGGTTCAGGGTTTAGGGCTGAGGGCGTTCAGGGTTGCTTGCACTGCAGCAGAAGATGGCGCGCCGATTCTCAGGGCAAGCTGTTGCTTTGGGCCTGAATCTCTAAACCCTAAACCCTAAACCCTTTCGGGTTTAGGGTTTAGGGTTTAGGAATCTTACGCCCTCAACCTTGCGGCCCTCATCCCAGAACCCGAAATCCATGCTCCCTAAACCCTAAACCGCTTTAAAACCCCTGAGTTCGAGGGAAGGCTCCCCGAAAAAGACCGCTGCGGCCCGAGGGCCGAAGGCAACTCCAAAACCCATTGGTCTCTCTCCGCCGAAGGACGAGGGTTCTGGTTCTCAGCAGGGCATGGGGTTTAGGGTTTAGGGTTTAGGGTTTAGGGTTTAGGGCTTTTTCTCAGAAGGGAATGAGGAGATGGGTTATTGGGACTACTATAGGAGACCTTAAGGGACTATCATAGGGATCCATCTCCAATGGCCCAAAGGTCTCTCTCCGCCGAAGGACGAGGGTTCTGGGCTTTGGGCTTGGGGTTTAGTGGTTGAGGGTTTTGGGTTTTGGTGGTTTAGGGTTTAGGGCTGCAGTGGTTTAGGGCTTAGGGTTGAGGGCTTTAGTGGTTTAGGGTTTAGGGTTGCGGATTTTAGCGGTTTAGGGTTTGGGGTTGAGGGTTTAGGGTTGAGAGCTTTAGTGGTTGAGGGTGTAGGAGCTTTGGGCGTTCGGGTTTAGGGAGTAGGGCTTAACGGTTTAGGGTTTAGGGTTTAGGGCTTAGGATGTTAGGAGTTTAGTAAGGTTGAGGGTATAGGGCTAGGGATTTGCATGAAGAGGTCAACCCAGTTGCGTGTGATAGTATATTCTAGCATATTACAGTAGATTATAGTACATAGTACATTGTTGTACCTTTTTTTCCTTATTATGGCACAATAGGAACCAGCAAGAGGAACCCTTGAAACACTAAACACATCAAAACAGTAAGTCGCACTGCGCCAGAGACCAAGGCCTGCTTGACAAAGGTGCCAGTCAAAAAAAAACTCCAGAAAAAAACCGAACATTCCAAAACGGCATCCAGAAAATCAAGGTCTAGGGGATTTCGGATTTTGGGGTTCAGGGTTTACGGTTTTAGGATCGGTTGAGGGATCCTGAACATTCAACACCCGCGACCTCAACACGCTGCAGCCGCTGTGCATGAGAAGCTCGGAGTGGTGCCAAAAGCTATGGGCAAGCAACCGACACTCTTCAGGGTTTAGGTTTCTTTAAAGGGCGTTTTGGGGACTGGTTGAGGGTTTGGGGTTTAGGGGCAAGCCCTCTGCCTTGTATCCTGAAGCGTGGGCACCTGATGATGTCCAAGGCAAACTGCCCAAGGAAAAGCACCATAACTATGAAAGGATCAAAAAAGATCGCAATCTTGCGGGGCTTCAGCGCCGCCCGTTTGCTTCCGATGTGTTTCGTGTTTGCGGCTTTGCTCTCTTTCGGCATAGTCCAAGCTTTGGTTGCGACACACTCACTACGGAACAGGTCGGGCCGAAGCGCAATCAAGGTATGAAGTCACTCGACTAAGTCGCCTCTTTGTGTATGCGCTCGCAGCCTTGAAAAAACCCTTCGAAAAGCAAAACATCCCAACGATGCCCGACGGTGAAGAAGACCTCCAGCAGCCCTGGCAAAGCCCTCCGTCTCGACACCTTTTTGCACGCAGCCGCAGCCGAAGTCAGGCCTCGGGCGCAGACGATCTTGGCGCTGGTAGAGCTGGGACAGTATGTTTAGGGTTTATGGGGTTATAGGGTTTAGGGTTTAGGGTTTAGGAGTTTAGGGTTTAGGGTTTAGGGTTTAGGGTTTAGGGTTTATAGGGTTTAGGGTTATAAAGGAATCTCACGGAAGAGTGTCACAGCTGCACGTACTCCTTTTTGAGCGCCAACGCCTCGAACTTTCCGGTGGTGGCATATC